CAAGTACCAAATCTCGTATCCATTTACATTTCGAATAAACTTAGAAAATTTCCGTAGATAACCTTTATTAAGGTATGTATAATTAAGGGGGTGGAGCCCTCTGAACGCCTCTGAATGTACACCAGCACAACGCGGATCAAACAAGCCATAACGTGATCTTGGTAATACATTCAGTGTCATTAGCATTCTAATACGTTAATTCAGCTATAAAATTAAAACTTACCTTCAGTATCTCTAGACTCTCTAGACGATACTGTTTCGGTTGGTGCGGATATAAATTGTATGGCTGTGGTTGGGTGTNGAGACAACTTGGTGACTGTTTCCAAATATATTCTTTTGATAACTTGGTCATTGTTCTCCTAGAAAGTGTATTCAATGAACGTTACCATGTTACCAAGCGTTACCAAGTTATCAACAATGTCTTTACTAGTTATTTCCAAGAAAAGCATGTAACAATGGTTACCAACGGCTACGTTGGGTAACCCTACTCCAGGTCCTCCAGGGCCTCCAGGTAGTGCTACTNAGGTACCCCTACTCCAGGTAGTGCTACTGGCGGCTACTGCAGACTTAATCCATGCGATTCCTGCTTTCTTCTGTTTCGGTCATTCGCTCATGGCATGAAGAGTAATCTGATTTGAGTGATGACTGCCTATCTTAATGATTTTTAAACTTATTTATTTGTTATATGTTTACGTGTGCATATAATGTCTTGAAACAGTGGAAGTGCAGTTTTACGGCCGAAACGTTGATGAATGGCAATGATCGAATAGACGGTCAGGTCAGGGGGCCGGGCAAGTGAACAGTTTTATTATGAAGAAAAGTTTAACCGATAAATTATTTGAATAATTCTTTACCAATATTTCAGGTCATTATAAGGATTTAAATGTTAGACAATCCTTGTAACGTGTAATGTCCAACGGACGTTATAAAGTGTACGGTCTTTTCGCTGTTATTTTCGAATGAAATTAGTTGGTTTCAGTGTACGAGGACAATCACGTATAAAAGGGATTGTTTGCACGTGCTGCTGTCTGCTAATTGGCAAGATCATGAAGTGTCTATTAACAGGAATGGGATCGAAGTGAATACTAAACACCGTAGTAATTTATACAGCTTTAAGAAACGGAACAGTTCACCAGTTACATAACATTACATTTTTTTTCATTTCGTGGATCCAATCATCTCCCCGTAGGGCTGGATATAAAACATGTTATATATTACATTTTCAATATGACTACACATCATTCGTCCTTTGTTCAATAAAATATATAATCAGCCTCTCGCAGATAGCTCAGGTTGTCAGGACAACACACATGGGTCGTGGTAAAACCACTGTCAGATTAATGCCTTGTCAGTTAATCAGTCTATCCTAACCTCAAATCGTTATGCTCTGTTAATTAATCGACAAGATTCATCAGCAAATGAACTGGGATTGCTGCATGACATACAGAGGGAAGATCAGCAAGCTGGGTGGGCCCAAGAGTTGGTCTGAATGCTGTGGAGAAGAGAAAACCCTTTCCCCTGTTGGGATTCGAACCCAGGCTGTCTAGCCTGTAATCCAGTGCTATACCAACTGATCTTTTGCAACTCCTTGATGAATCTACAATCAAAAGATTATTCAGGTATGTTGTTTTTAATATATGGATCCTGATTTTGGAGCAAGGATAGCCCAGTCACTATACTGATGGGCTGTTGGTTGGGTGGCCAGGATTTGACTCCTGACAGGGATAAGGTTTTTCTCTTCTCCATAATATCCAGACCAGCTCTGGGGCCCACCAACCTTCCTATCCAGAGGGTACCAGGGGCTGCTTCCCCAGGGTGTGGAATCAAGTGTTCACTCCCATCTGTTGCTGAGGTCAATATAGGTGGTGCTTGCTTATTAACAGAATCTTGATTTTAGTACTGGAAGAATGTTAGTGTGGCAGACTTGTAAAATAATGTATTTAATGTACCAGCATAAAGTCAAAGTCATGTTGCAACTGACGGTCAGTCAGTCTGTCTTGGGGCGCACGACCAGATGTTTTCTTCTTTGTGAAAGTTGCTGTCCTGTCCATTTGGGGTGCCTTCTCTGACGAGAGGTCAGTTCTGTCATTTGTCAGTCCATTGTCAGTATTGACATACATTTACAATTTAATTCTAGTCTTAATTCCTATTTCTGTGTACAATATGTACAAGGCCAGCATAAAGTAATTTTTAAAACTTCTCTAACACCCAAACAGGACCATTACAGTTAGTGAGATATTACAGCATTGAAGTAACATTGTAAATGTACAGAAACACACCCAGTCTCCTGTCATGTGGGGCACATCGTTTCCTGGCCTCTGCACAGCTGTATGTGCCCTTAGCAGTCAGATCAAAGTGACGTGAACTTTTGACTAGAGGTGTCCGTTTGCAACATGACAATTCTCGGCCCCATACTGCCCGTGCATCAGTTCAAGACTTGCACTTTGAGTGTCTTCCATGTCCGCCATACTCACCAGACCTAGCTCCAAGTGATTATGAGATGTTTGGGCCACTCAAAGAGGCGATGGGCAGAAAGAAGTTCTGTTCTGATAAAGAGGTATAGCAGGTGGTGCATGAGTGGTAAAGCAACGGTAAAAAAGCACAAAAGCAATCAGACATATCACTCAATGTGTGCAGTAGCAGCGTGTAACTGAGAAGAGATAGGAGTGCTGAAGATAGTCCTAGAGCACTTGTTTGTGTTAATTGTGTTATAACATGTTTGGCAGACCGTATATATTCATATATTCAGTATCTGACAAATACACTCTTTGCATTCGCTTTTACATATATTGACAAATCCACATGGGACAAGGGTTTACTTTGGGGAGGGGTTCAGGCTCTCAGTGGCAAGTAATATTTCACTATATTTACAATTGTGCCTATACTGAAACATACATCCCCCTGCAATAGAATATTCCAATGTATGAATTTCAAAATAATAATGTGTTTTTAGTATTGGCATCAGTAAGCATAATTTTGTTTACAGAAGAACACACACTATTGTGCATTACATACATGATCATGGCTGAAAATTATTATAATACATATGTAAATATATTAATTGTAGATCTGAACAGTCTTTATACACACCAAAAATAATTACAAATCAGATATAAATATCAGAAATTAATCACTGTAATATATGCCTGCAGTAAAATTCAAATAGTGATCTTCAACTTTAAAGCACTTAAGCTAACGAGGACTCTTGACATCACACTATGAGATGAGATGAGAGATGAAAGAGCTGCTTATTCACAAGAGCAATGGAAAGATAACATTTATATTTGTTTTACATGAACAAGGAGAGTACAGGAGACCAGAGTATAGAAAAGGGGGCTTCCCAAAGAGATTCTTTAATGCCAGTATTATTTCAAACTAAACTGAAAGAGTAATTGTGAATTAAATGTTTTGTTTCTTCTACTGATGTTCTTGAAGGCCCTGGTTGTTCATATACAATGTAATTGGGCCTCATTTATATAACCACTTTTCCTACTGAACACTTACTTTAAATTGTCTAACTATGACATGTTTCATATTCAGTGGAGATTGCACTTATGAATATCCTGAAATGCAGATGTATGTATGACAAGTCACAGTGTGTAGCAGCATTTTAACATGATTTAATAATAATGGGGGAGGTTAGCCTTGCCAGGTTGCACAGTGAGCACAGAGTCCTGTACAGTTTTGGAAATGTGGGATCTTGAGAACTGTAAGTAAATAACTGTGGGAAAATATGCAGCTCAAGCACTTCAAACACTTCTGTTTGGAATTCCAACATTTGTATCTCCTGCACGTTTTCATCTAACTTCTTCCATTGGAATTCACTGCTGTACTGTATATACTGCATCTCTTCCAGGGCTGAAATAAGTGTCTTTATCAGAATCAAAGAAACCAAAGCATCGACAACATTTATGCTTATTTGTGGGATTTTTATTTTGTCATATAAAGTGGATTGAAAAGCATCTGTTTGACATTTAGACTCAACCCTCAAATGGATAAGACTAACATAGAACTTTTAAGATGTGTACTCGTATATCACCAACTGCTACCTAAGAATTCACTTTATATTACTCATAGAAGCATTCATTCTGTCTACGTGGCTGTGCCATAGCTCAAGCGGTTAGTCGCTGGCTTCTCGCCGCGGCGGCCCAGGTTTGATCCTGGGTCTGGTCAAGTGGGATTTGTGGTGGACAAAGTGGCGCTGGGGCAGGTTTTCTCTGAGTACTTCAGTTTCCCCTGCCATTCTTCATTCCACCAATTGCTCACAATCACCCTCACCTATCATCTGGGGCTGCTACAATAGGCCAGAAGTGGCCATAGTACAAGGGACTTAGTCCCACCCCACTAGCAATAAAAAAAATCATTCCGTCTAGAACACCAGCATTTTTAGGAGCCCTCAGGTCACAATATTCATGAAGAAAATTATTAAAAAAAGTCTGACAGTATATCAGTCATATAAAGATTCCAGCACAAAAACAAGACAATGAAAATGCAGCAGAATTGATGATGCTCTGTGAATTGAACAAGGAACAGTGGATTGTGAAATCTGCAATATTTATAGTCAACTGTTTCTTCCAACCTCAAGGAGAAAAATCATTTCAGATATCTGCTGTAAAATTTGGAAATCTATTTTGTTCAAAGTTTAATAGTAACTGGTATGAAGGGAGAGATGTTAATATACACACACCAACACAAGCACAAAAAGGTAAGTGGGCATCCAGAACAACGGAATAACCTGCAATGTAAAGATTGTCAGGCGATGCCACATGCTTGGGCTATTCCTCATTACAGTAACATCCTCATGTAGTGTTCCTGCAGTTGGCAAATATTTCCTCTTTCCCTATCAAAACCCAATATAAACTGTATTATTTTTCCATATTATTGAATTGTGATTTAGTAAATAACCTACATTTCGAGTAAGAAATGTCTGACCTTTTAGAACTCGCATCTCAATTTATTGTCAAAATGATATTCAAGTTTCTACCAGAAATGATTAATGCATAAACATGATCTTCAATCAGTAAATATTACAAATTTTATTGTTGTTATTTCCTTGTTCATCATATTGAAGTGTACAGGCCTGTTGCTATGCAGCGGTTGAGGTATTGTTGGACTATAACAATGGAAACAGTGTTTTCTACATGGTTTGTGCCGAAATATTATAAGCATGGTCAGTTGAGTGTCAAAGTTAGAGTTTTCAGCAGTTCAGTTGAAAGTCAGCCTGTGAAGAGAAGGCTATGAGGCTGGTGTGAAATAGCAACCAGCCTGGGACCCAGATACTTGAGTTGTCAGTTGACAAAGAGTTCTGCACGGGTAGTTGTGACAAGAGGACCAGAGAGTGGGAAGCTGAAGAATCTTCCTTCATAGAAGCCATCAATAGGAAATGGCTAGTGGAGAGACTAATTGACTGAGGACACTAGTCTGTGCGTGACAGCAATCTGTAAAGAGTAGTTCCAAATGGTGTATACAAGTGGTCAATAAATCCATTCACCGATCCTAACCCCATCTATAGTCACATTCACGTGACAATATTGTAGCTGGGTTCTGTTTGAGTGAATTTATTTTGAAAACAACATGTTCATTTTGTCTTTTTATTATTTTTGGCTCCCTTCATTTCAGATATTCTCCTCAGTCCTCTGTTCTCAAAATAGTCTGTGTTCAGCCCTTAACCAAAGAAATGCCAGCTTTAATTCCTACATTGATAGCCGCCATTTTAAGTTTTTCTTCTTTCACAGGATTCTCCCCAGATTTTTTATCTGTATAGTTTGGACATAATGCTATATACGATTGTTTTTAAATAAAGGTTGACTTTTTTGCTCCTGGCATATGTAGGGCTAATGCTAAGCACTGAGTTCTGCACCCATAAAAAAACAGTTGAGTCCAGTCTTATGTTACGACTGATGGTCAGTCAGTCAGCCAGTTGCGGGTTTGCTGATGTGGAGCGCTCTGACAAGACAGTGGGTAGATTACAATTGCTGCTGGCCCTTGCTAGTGCAGTCATTCTCAGGTCTGAGTCCCATGGGACTCGTGACCATATTTTACTGTCTCAGATTCAAGACTTCCCTTTCTGTCGCCTCCTATGACTCGCAGGGCTATGGTGGAGGTCTTCGACCCTGCCTCCACATGGGATATACAAAACAATATGTAAAATTATAATATTGTATACTTTTTGTTATGTTTTAGATGGGAGGTGAGAAAACATGAGATTCTGAACAGAATTTCATAAATTTAATGTGGTTTTAATTTCTTTGTGAGTATAATTCCGATTCATTAGTGTTATTCCTATGTGGATCTAAAATTATCTGTTGCATACCTTTAAACCTCTCTCTGCTGTTTAAGTTCCATAATCCTATCATGGCACAGCCATCCTGTGGAGTACAGTGTTTGTAATTTTCTTCAGTTATTGAGCCATTATGGTTTTGAGTATTTGGTTGCATGAACGCAGATTCATGAATGTTGGAGCACTTACAATATTTATTTTCTAGATGTTCATATTTCTTCTGAAGGCCAGCCAGAAGCTCATCATTCTTTTCCTTAAACTTACATTCCATAAGTCTGGACACTTCAGACAGTAATGCTGCATACTCCATAAAAAGTTCAACCAAAGGCTCATATGCAAATTTTTTCCAACTGGCATCATTCTGTAACAAGATTGAAGAAAGTACAATGATAAATAATATCAATCCTTTGAACACATTAAGTTAAAACCATTATAAAATCCCTGATGCTCCAAAAATATCAGAATTAAGAATATTTACAGTGCAACACTTGTCCTATGACAATTGTTGGGCCTGTAATATGAAGGTATGTAAGAAAAAATTAAAGATAATTTTTGTGTAAGTTTTCATATGTTGTAATCGGAATAGAATAGAATATTTTTGTATATAATTGACCTGATTTTCAATGCACTTGGTCCAAAGGGCCACACTTCGTAAGCCCATGAGAATTTGAAATAAATTGAACTGAATTGAACTGAATGGTTCTTGCATAGCAATGAACCATGACTGATACCCACTTCATTTTATCCTTACTGAGGTACCTACTCAATATTAATGTTATCAAAGGGACTGTTTCCACATCCTAGGTTTTTTATCTGTATGGACATATGGAAAATAAAGGAAATGAATGAATGAATGAATGAATGCACGATACAGCTGATGGCACGAGAATGTGCAACATAACACTCATCCACCCTCTGGCTAATTCATTTATTGCCAATATTAAAGTGACATTATTCCATAAATTTCACAAGCTTCCTTGCACTTTGATCACAAATATCAGATTGTAGATCACTACTATTCTTGGTACATTCTGTCAGCAGAGCATCCATTCAAAATTTATATGAAAACCAACAAGGTGCAAATGGGGAAAGGTTGTGTCATTTTCAGTGCTGCCAGTACTGTCTTAGAGGTAAACTAAAATTGCCTTTACTTTTTGACTGTCACTCACAGGTGTGATGGGAATTTGTTTGAATATTTGTAAAAATACTGAAGCAAAGCTTTTTTGTTAACTGAGCTGCATAATACTTTATAATGCCAAAGTCAACTAAGATGTAGAGTTGCTGTAACAAAACAAAATTTTTATATATGCTTTTCATAAGTTTAAACTAGACTTCTAATGTAAGATTTGAGGTTTTCACGGCGGTGACTACGAAGAAAGCAGTCTTCTGGGATGTGGCACCGTGTAGATGTGGTGTTAACCGACGTTTCGGAGGAACGTATCGCCTCCATCTTCAGGGTAGAAGGAAAAATAAGAAATCCGCAAGCGAAGAGACCGTGAGAACCGGTACAAGCAGACACCAGTTGGCTAATACCACATCTCCACGGTGCAACATCCCAGAAGACTGCTTTCATCATAGACTTCTAATGTTCTGTCCCCCTTTTGTACTTAATTTTAAAAACTAGTATAAAGCAGGGAAATGAAACTGTATAGGTAATTAAATAACAAAGGAATCAAATTAGAAACAGCAATTTTAGTTACAAAACATAAGATAATATAGACATAAACAGAGAAGAGCAGACTAGAGTGAATCATACCTAAGTGCAGGATTAAATACTACAAGTTTCAGATGTTCAATGGGGGCACATGGTAGCACAATTGGTTGAGGCACTATGCTACAAGCCAGAAGGTTGCTGGTTTGATTCCTGATGTCACTGGATTTTTCAATTCACTTAATCCTTCCAGCCACACTGTGGCCCTGAGGTTGACTCAGGCTCTAACAGAAATGAGTACCATGAATCTTCCTAGGTGGGAGGCTGGCACATAAGGCTGACAACTTCACCACTATCTGGGAGCCTCAATGTCTCACAACTCTATGGGCCTGATTTTTTTTTCCAGAAGTTCAAAAGATAACATGTGAGGATATTAAAAACAACATAAAAGTGTCTGAATTGATAAATTACGATAATGGTGAATATAGCTTTGTTTACCATTCCCATACTGCACATGAGATACCTTGTTTAGAAACATCCCTTGACATCTAGACTGGAGAAAGATGGATAGCTGCAACTGCACATGGAAATACTAACAGAATCTGTCACTGGAAAGACTTAAGAAAAAGTAAACAGGAATTAGAAGTAGATCAAACTCTTTATTACTGTTCTAAATGGAAGAACTAATTGGAGGGAGGTCAGTGAACTTGTATAGGACTACAAGCCATCACATCCAAAAGACAGCGTTCTTCATAGCTACTACCATGAGAACCTCAAGTTCAAGATATTTTTGGTTTTGGGTATTAAATAAACACCTTTCAGGTATTTATTTGTTGTAACTCACCATGGTTGATAACTTATTTAAGAAACTTCTAGCAGCAACTTTCCCCTTGCCAGCATCAATTCCACACTTCTTCCCTCTTTGTCTTCTTTCAAAGAAACTGTGGTAAGTTTTCAGAGCTTTAATCAAGTCTGAAGGCACTCCCAGAACATCCACAGCTTCTGCCAATTTAACTGCTCTGTAATCACTCTTAGTAATGTGAGCTGTCTTGTCACTGTGCAACAGACAATAATTCAGTTTCACTGGAGGTGTTGTACTCTTTTTAATATCAGGCTTAACACTGACATTTGGATAAACAATTACTTGAGAGAGTAAATCTTCAAGATCTGAGATTCCCATTTTCTCTGAAAATGATGTGCTATTTGACAGCTTTGTATCTCTCTCCATATTCTTAACATACAATGCATTTGTATTCTTCGACCATGACATAGCTGTATTTTCATCTTTCACTGAACTTTCCTTGGGCTTTGAAAAGCAGCTTCTTACAATTTTGTGTCTGGTGGTACTAGAGTCTGTATGAATGGAGAAATCTTTTTGGTATGTTGTCTGTAATGACAGATTAGGTTTCAATCTTGGTTTTATGACTGATTTTTTATCACAATTTCCACTCAAAATTGGAATAGGTATAGATTGCCAACTTGTATTTGTCTGTGTTGCCCTTGGGGAGTGATTATCAGGAGAACTTCTCCTTACAACAGAATTATTAACCATTCTCTTCAAGGATCCATTACCAGTAGTCAGTGGTTTAACAGAACTGAATTTTGCACTTGGAGTTTTCTTTTGTACTTTGTCATTAAGTTTCTTAGATGTGAACCCAAGTTGGCAGATTTTCCCTGTATTAGGTTTTTTTGTCAGAAGCAAACCTTTTGCTTGAGGTTTTGAAGCACTCAGTGTTTCTCGCAGCTTCTGTGCTTGTTCTACAACTTGCTCAATGTCTTTCGCCACTTCAATGATTTTAGAATAATCATCTTCATCATCATCATTACATGTACAGTGAGGCAGTTCTCCAGGAACAGAAGTATCAGGAATGTGCCAGTTATTTAACAAATTCTGAGCTTCATCACAGCTTTCATGTAGCAATTTCATGGTTTTTGTTGTTGCATCCAGAATCTTTTCTAGTACAGCTACTAACCTGTCACAGAAAAAGAATATCTTCAGCATGAACATAACTGCTGAACAATGAAAGATAACTTCAGTAATTATAAAAATCTGTCTGTAACAGAATCTGGATTAATGGAATTTTTTTTAACTGAAAAGTACTGTCTAAATGTGACAACTGTACTATGACATATTCCATATCCTGATTACTAAAGAAGCTGTCATGAAGGCAGGAGTTTGAAGGGCATGGAAAAAGTTCAACATCCTTGCCCCATGGCTCTAGGTGCAGAACTGCCAGCTGTGCTTCTCTGTCAGTTGTCTGCATTTATAACCAACCCTGATGTGGCTGTGGATTTTATTCTTAGTTCTTCAGAAAGATGAGTATGGCCTTCTGTGCAGTTCAGAGACAGCCTGACTTTTTAGTGGTGTCCATTCTTCAAGGTCAAAGAATAAGCCAAGAAAGAAACCAGCAGAAGCAGGTGGTAAACTGTTCCCCTGAAATATCAGGCTGTCTTCAAACTACACAGTGTCAAAACCTGGAAGACCACATTCTTCACAAGTTCACCACGTGTTACAGTTTTGTCGTGCATTGATTTGTTGAATTCTGTGTGGTGATATCTGAAAAAAATCAACTGTTACCCCAGTGAAGCTGGTCAGATTGGAAAATTCTGACACCAGAAATCAGAATAAACAATTATTTGAAATGGGTCGAAGTTTCTTCAAAGATATATCTGAGCAACCTGAACAGTTTAGCAATATACATGTCCATAAAACATAAGAAATAACAGCAAAAGCATGTTGGACATATTACAGCACAGTGCAGAGAGACTGCAATGAAAATTTAACTTCATCAGATAATCAAATATTTATTTCTCCCAGGAAAGTATTTATAAGAAACATGATGTTACAGATATAAATATAATTGATAAAGATAGAGAGTGTATGAGCTTTATGACAAAAGGGAATATCCTATAGCGTCATAATTGAAAAGGATAATTTCCAGTATTTTTTTTGATAAAAAATGGTGAATTAGAATTATACCTTAACTCTAATAGATCGCGTGTACTGGAGGCATGTCAATTTGAAGAGGAAGGAGATTAAAAATAAGCCATACTGATTCCAATAAAATTAGATATGTTAAAGAAAACAAATTAATTTTTTGGTCTAAAGGCAAAGAGTTAAACTCAGATAATGGATCAGAAATGAATGCCAGACTATTCACAGGCCAATTTATAAATTACTTCATTAATTATCTATAAGAAACTGTGACAGCTATGAATGAATTCCACTCACAAATCTCTAAAAGCCTCATTACTGACTGGCTCTAAAGAATGTAGATAACAGTAGATCAAACTGAATCCAAAGCAGAGTTACTTCATTTTGTTTCACTCTTCAGGTAGCGTAGTTGGTTGAGGCACTATTCTACAAGCTGGAAGGTTGTGGATTCAAGTCCCAATGAGGTGGATTTTCTTTCAATTTACCTAATTCTTTCAGCTGCACTATGGCCCTGTAGACTACTCAGCCTCTAACAGAAATCAGTACCAGGAATCTTCCTGGGGGAGTAAAGGGTGGCTGGCGCATAAGGCTGACGACCTTATAACCATCTGTGAGCTGAATGTCTAGAGAAAATGTGGTAGCCTCGATGTCTCACAACCCCATGGGCCTTCACAGCCTATTACAGGGATAGCTTTACCCCCCTTTTTTTAATGTTGTATTTTAGCGTCCTGTTGCACTGATCTTCGTCCATGATATGTAAGCAGTGCCCGTCTTTTAGTGCACTCAATTTCACTTGTTACTTCACAACATGTTTCGGTACTACAGTGCCATCATCATGTGCTCCATTTACATCAATCTATTTCATTGCTTGCCATTATGTCATTGTAAAATTTAAAAAGTATTTAAAAATATTCGTCAATTATAATAAATATATACCTTCAACGTGCAGATGTATGTAGCAATAATGAATGGGATCACCAGGTAGCAAGTACCACCATATCATTGTCAGCATAAGCCTTAGAGTTAATATGGACTTACATGAAGACAGAAACTGCCAACTGAAATAACTTCATGTTGGCCAGTGGCAAAAGACTTATGACTGATGCTACTGACAGGATAGTGGCTGAAGACTGGGAAAAACTTGATATGCAGAGTGGTCACAAAAGGATTTTGTAAAGAAGTTTGGCAGGGACAGTATCACTGAGTCCACCTAAGACGCTTAAAGTACAGTGTCACTAACAGTGACAGCAGCAATCATGAAGAAGGGCCCGAGTGAGAACAAGACTTATTTAACACTATCCATATTAAATGTTTTCTGTTTCCTGGGATTTGATAATATGTGTTCTGGTAGACATTTTCCAACATTTCAAAAGGATGTGCTGACTCCATCTTCAAGGTATAGAAGGTGAGCATGGAAAAGGTGGTACACACAGAGGGAGAGAGATAGCTGTGTGAACCAACACAACCAATGAAAGTAGTGAAAGCTGTGGTCTACTCTGCATGAGAAGTAAAGTGTCTGAAAGGACCAACAAATAATATAAGGATGTCAAGCATAAGTAAATATTGTGTATGGCAGAATGGGGTGGAGAAGCAGGACTTTGCATGTGTTACTCTTCTACCCTGAAGATGGAGGCAGCATGTTCCTCTGAAACACTGGAACCTATCTACTAAACTACACAGCATCATATCTGAGAAGACTGTAATTTTTGCACTCAATGCTATGAGAACTTTAAATGTCTCATGTATCTATATGCTTCATTTCCTGAATGTAAAGTGGTCCATAATTGTACCCGAACAGGGTGATGTCAAGTTCTTCCAAAGCCTGTCTAGTGAACTACATCACATCACAGGAGATCATCTTTTAATAATCACTCCCATGTGAACCACAAATTGTCTGCTATATGTAAGAAAGTATTTTCAAGCAATATTTCTTACAGGTCATCAAATAAGGCTGTTGTCTGGCAAGGCTGAAATAAGGTAATAAACTAATGGATCCTAAAGGATTCTAATAACGGTATATAACATTTGAGATTACCAAGTTTTTTTTATTGTGACTAGCTCTTTCTAAGAGGCCCAACTGAGTAGGTTTATCTTCCCCTACCCACCTGAAGATGGAGACAGATCCAGTCTCCGAAACTTTGTGGTCTTTTGTCTTTTACATACCAGACGATGGATGAAGTCCAAAACAAGCCAAAAGAAGTATATATATATATATATTTCAAGAATAAGTAACTTATAGATTTTAATATTAGTACATGTTATAGGAATGTCTACTGCCCTCTTCTCTATTTTTTTCTTACAGGAACAAGACGATACCAGGATATTTGTGCCGGGATAGAAGGATTGGGTCTTGAGATGTACAGCAGTGTCATGTGTTAAACGATTATATAATTATTATTCTTATTTCAATTCAATTCAATTTTATTTCATCCATGAATCATTATACATGATATGGGACAAGTCAAAGATTAATATTAATACTAATACTAAATAGTAATAAGAATATAATAATACAGAAATAGTATTTATTGTATTATAAAGTATTTGACTTGTCCTATATCATGTATAATGATCCATGGATATGAAGTAAATAAATTAATAGAAATGTAGATTTAAAACATTCTGGATGACATATCAGAACCCTGCTTTTAGGTTATTTCTGATGAAAGTAGTATTTATCATTTTACCTGAATAATTCAATTTTATTTCTATTGCTGTTCTCCATAATAGCATAGTTATTTCTTAGTCTCCTCTAATAAATTTTCGGTTACCGTTAGCAAAAAGTCTACTGGAACATCCCTTACTCTCTTTAACTACTTACTACAACTAAAACTTTGTGCCTTAACGATACCTAACATACATAACTTAATCACATGTACGTATGCAAGTTTCCCGCCAAATGTGACCAGAAATCCGCGGTAATTCCTGTCGATCCCTGTTGCCTGGAAGTTGAGTTACTCAACGCGAGACGCGTTGCCGTTTCCTCAATTTGCGCTGCTCCATTCAGAAACACGTGTTCAACTCAGGTTGATGACTATTCTTGGAAATCGCGGTTGCTAGTTTCCTTGGTGAGCCCTCGCCCACACACCGCTCTTCGTCATCTATGATGATCTATGATCACTGCTAGCCAATCACGGAAAATGCAGTCATCACGTTCACCTCAATACATATTATCGTTCTCAAATTTCCCATCCTTGTCAAAATTCCCTTCAGTTCAAGTTGAGGCCCTATCTAATCGTCCATATTTATTTTCCATTACATGTGATGTCCTTATGGTAGTGTTTAATTTGTGGGATTTCCTTTGGAAATTGTTATCAGTGTAATAATTACGTGTTCGCCTAAGCTGCGTGACACAGGCACGAAGTCTGTAACACTGACGTTATATTGTGACCTGACAACTGCGAACACTGCGAGGTCTAAAAACTTTAAAAGAAGGGTATTATTTATGTCCACGCATATGTTGGTTTTGTCGGCTGGCGTCACTAAGTTGAATTGTACAAGAGAAAGCAATGATCGGCAATGATTGCAACGATGTTGGTGTTTCTTAAGCTTCATAATATAAGATGTACGATATCACCGGCTTAATTCTCAACCGATTTCGTGTGACAAGGAAGTTGAGTGTAAATGAAAGTTAATGCATGAGGTGAGTTTTTATGGATGTATATTCTTATAATAATAATATATAATTGAACTCCATCTTTTCCTTACTTTTTAAACATGTCCCATTTTCCTTCGCTTTCAGAAGATGGTCAGAGTTCATTCATCTCATTTTTTTTTACATAATTGTTATATAGAATCTGCAGTAAATGTATATGTTCAATAAGTACTGGCTCGTGAATGACTTGTGCCCAGTGGCGTAACTCATACTCTTTTTTTTTTTTTTTTTTTTTTGCTTTTGTTTCGGTTCTTTTTTTGGGGGTTTTTCTAATCCNTTCTTGTATTGGGGTTTTACTCAAGCCTGTCTGGTAGAGTTAGGACAGTGTATCTTGATTCTTTGTGTAGTTTCGCTGTTGTATACAAGGTTCAACACTAGTGCATTAGTGTGATTTTGTGCTTTTCATAATTAAGTGATATTCCATTTTATTTTTCTGAGCACTTTGTTCATTTGTAGAACTTGTGGTTGTTTATGTACCATGGTTCGTTCAGAATGGATCGGAAAGTCTTGGATTGAAAGTGTTGGAGGATTTCGATATTGGAATTGGAGGCTGTCAACCATGGCCAAATTGCATAGGTCCATATGGGTTTGAGTGCAGCTTTATATAGGAAGAGTTTGCATCCTCTTGATAGTGTTCATCATCTTTCAAGTAGCCAGTGTATTTGTTTTGCTTTTTAGTTAATCTGTTTTCTATAGGTTTTGATATGTTTTTCCCATATCAGTGTTTATTGAGATGCATGTCCAGGTATTCCACTTCACTTTTCTGGGGTTAGATCAACATTGCCCATTATCAGGCAGGTTTGGTTGCATAGGGTGAATGTAATATGCATGGATTTGGTTTGATTTATTTTAATTCACCATCTTTTCACCCATTTTTTTATTTTATTGATGGTGGCATGGAGCTTCATTGAGGCTGTCCCTGGATCTTCATGTGCTGCTAACATTGCTGTATCATCGGCGCAGGTAGCAGTTGTTATGTTGTCTGATGTCTGGAGGTCACTTGTATAGATAGCATATAGGACCACTCCTAAGACGCTTCCTTCCAGTAAGCCTGCTTCAGTTTTCCTTAAGGTTATGATTATGTCTTTGAATTTTACTTGAAAGAGACTATCCATTATATATGTTTCTAATATTCAGTAATATGCATGGGGAAGAATTTTCCTGATTTTGAATGAGATGCCCGGGTGCCATAATTCATCAGATGCTTGTGTGATGTATAGGAATGTTGCAGAACAGTACTGTTTTTTCCCCCCAAAATCCTATTATTATTTCTGTAATTGTGTGGCATTTCATTATAATTGACTTGAAGTAGTCAGCATGAAAGACTGAGGAGCAGAATAAATATTATGAATCACTGTGTATTTTGTAATAAAGTTTATTATATATTTCTTGGGTAGGAAGATTAAGTTAATAGTATTTACATGTTTTATTCAACTGTTTTTAATGCTGAAAATGTTAATTTACTAGGGTACAGATGGAATGGAACTGTTAGTAACAGATTTTGTTACACAAGTGACAGAATTTGTAACATAAGTAACAAAATCTGTAACAATTTGCATTTATTCATACATTTCTAAGCAACGACAATTTAACACGATACCATGTCAGTGAATCAACACAGAACAGTAGAGGAAACAGAAAAACCATGGAAATAATGCTTTCTGTGTGGTTAGTGCTGGAACCTTATAAATATGAATGAAATATGGCAATAAATGCAAGATCTGTGTGGAAGCAGGGTCGAATACCTCCACCCTGCCTCCTGGAAATATAAATACAATCATCAGTAAAATGTGATACACTTAAATGCCAATTAAATGTTTCTTTTCAGGACCTGGGCAAGTACATCCATGTAGATACACTGCAATGAACAGGGCAGCTATGTCACGAGGATTGTTGTAAGCCACTTTCTTATGCAACTACCAATCAGTCATGTCTGATGAACACCTTTTAACACTGAAAAAGATTCAATGCTCTCTTGCTGCAAGAGTGCCAAAGATTACACTGCAGAGAGTTGAGGAAGTATATCCTGTTCTGAAGGAAAGCTTGGTGAGTGTTGTGTGCATTTGTGAATCAGAAAATATTTTCTGATGGTTTTGTTTTTAATTTTTGTTTTCTGTTTCCTCATTTTGTTAAGAATGGCTTGTACACATTACAAGGGAAAAGTGTTAACGTATTATGAATTTCATTTAATGTGACTATGTGCAGCGTAGTGGGATTGGAATACTTTCCAATTCTGTTTTGTACAGAATAGCTATAACTGAAGTTTAGGATGTATACACAGAGAAAATTAAGTGCTATGTCAGTATTGTAAATCAGTGTTATGTACGTGGTGTGCATTTGATTTTGTTAGGATCTGTTAAAGGTGAAAGTAGAACTATCCCTGTAAGAGGCCTTGGAGGCCCATAGGGTTGTGGGACACTGAGGCTTCCACATTTTCTAGATGCTCTGCTCACAGATGGTGGTGAGGTTGTCAGCCCCCCATTCCAGCAGCCCTTTGCCTGCAGAAAATTCATGGTACTCATTTCTGTTAGAGACTGTGCCGACCCCAGGGCCATACTGTGGCTGGAAGGATTAGGTCAATTGAAATTTCCAGTGACCTCATCAGGAATCGATCCTAAAACTGGTTTGTAGCTAGTGCCTCAACCAAGTATGCTGCTGCGTGCCTCCAACATAATCCTGCATGTCTGATATGTATGTCTACCAGAAATTACCTGAATTAGTATAGTGAGAGTGTGGTACAGTGAGTAGGGCTTATAACAGTGACTTCATTATAGTGACAAAAACCGTTGGAAGTTTGGATTCTTTAACGTCATATACACATAAAACCATAGCATAAAATAAGGGTTTATTCCCTCAGGTCATTCATTATGTTTCCTAATTTGCAGCAATTGCTTGTCTGAAAATTTAGCACCCACTATATTTATAGTTTTGCTTACAGAATTACTTGTAACTAGCAACCAGTGAAGGTTTCTCTCTGACCTACCCTTTTACAGGAGGATGTTTATATTCCAGAAAGTAACTGGGAAGATTGTCTCCTGCAGATTTTAAAAACAGAGAAATGTTCATTACCTATTGTCTGCTGCTCTGTGCAGTTTCTTCTTCCCCTCATCTTCCCCAGGCCTAAGTGGGATGATGTCACAGAACACAAACTATGCAGGCACACGTTTAGGGTTTTGTCATGGCAGATATCTTCTGTATTCTGTTTGCCACCAACAGCATAATTTTTAAAACC